GGATCGCGAAGTCTGAATGCGCTCTTAGACCGTATTCATTAGCCAACCCACTCCCTTTGCTTCCTTTCCAGAATACTGTACTTTGCAGTTTTTCCGATGCTGGTGTGCATACTGTTGTTGACGATTCATCGTGCGCTTTGCAAGCCCATGCTCAGGATTGCTTTAGCATTGCGGTTGTAGCAGAGCGATGGTTAGCCTCTGGTGGAGAAGATGATGTTGCTTTCCTTTGGGATCAACAAGTGTCCGGTACGTTAAACAGTAGCTTCAGTCACTAGTTTGTTTATTCATCTCCTTTGTAATTTTATCTTTCATTGTTCTCATCGGTTCTCATCATATTTGTACTTTTCGAGACTGAAGCTCATTTTTAGACTCGGATCCAGTGACGAAGATTGAACATGACGATTCGGTGACGCATGTTGCGTTCAACAATTCGCAAACACTGCTTGCCACTGCTGATATGTCGGGAAAAATCATCATTACGCAGTTATCTGACCTCTCCACCCGTGCCAAGGTAGTATGCTCGGCATTCCTTTTAGTAATTAGGAACCTTTTATATCAGATCACTAGCACGGCTCACAGGAGCTACAACTGTTCTTTTGATTTTTTGACAAGGTTTTTAGCTCAGTGACTGTAATGATATGGAATGGACTTGTTGGCATAATACAAGTGATATCCTTTTCGCTGGTGATAAGGACGGTATAGTGTGGATGTGGCTGATCGGGCCTTCAGGCGTCGCCCAGTCCAAAGTAAGTTGACACTAGATTTACTTGTGAATATTTCCTAATTTCCGAACTATGCGTTGCTGTTCGGTAATAATCCAACAGCTGCTGATTGATTCCGTAAGTAAGAAAAAAAGCAATAAGAATTCAGGAACACCATAGACGAAATCGCTCCCTGACTGTCACACTGCCTTGCTGCAACCCTCCCCCCTCCCACTCCGGCTTACAAATCGCTTTTTCGCACCTCTCAGTACTAACAACCATCCAATTCGAAGGTAAAGAAGGCGAAAAACAACTTTTTGAAAACTCTGCATCCGAATTTAGGACGGTAGCAATGCACGTCGAGCTTCTGCACCGATTGCATCATTGGTAATTTGAAGATGTCTTACCTTGCTCGATGGATTGCTGTTGATCGCAAGTACTCCTAATGAAGAAAATGTAATGAAGGAAAACAGAATTACTTATGAGCCCGAGCGCGGTGTTTAAAAATGAACATGCAGTTTCTCCACCCCCAACAAAGAAGAGCTGAGCGCCCCTGCGTTGGCTGTGAAGAGGACGTTGGTTGCGTGGGCGGTCCAACTGAGTGGGTGTAAGAACTAGAGCCTTTTGGGCTGTACCATCCACTTCACTCGTTGTGGAATCGCGAAAGTGGGACAGTCTCTTTGCTTGGACGCAGAATTATTTGCACAAGGAATGACCACGACGGCTTAATTGAGCACGGGGGCTGTCTTTAACTAGTAATGTGGTCCTTATGTGGCCCTTACTTGTTGCAAGCATATTATCGTCGTAGGTTTTTTCATAAAGTGAGCTTATCGTTATGTTCAGGTGTACAGCGGGAATGGGTCGTCGTGCACATATGGTCAACTGCTTCCAGATGGAAAACGCTTGCTGGCTGGCTACGCTGATGGTGCAGTAAGTCAGTTACAGCTCTTTTTATAAACCCTTTGGCTGCGCCCACTAACGTGCGTCGTACAGCTTGTGAAAGAAACAAATACCCATACGAAAATCTATAGTGAGGTCTTTCTTCGGTGATGTTTATGTGCCGTTCTCGGTCGTCTCAAAAGCAGAGGTTTCCGATCGATGAAGTAGGACCATATCACTTTTTGATTTCGGTAGTTTCTGTAACGATATCCCACCGCGGTGACACGCGATCATCTGAAGCGAACAAGGCTATAATCTAGGGTTGTCTGTTGGTGTGAGCTTGTTTGACCGGGAATTCATAGCAGATTCCCCAGTTTCTCCAGTACTAGTTAAGCGATGCTTGAAAAAAAATGATGAAGGGTAAAGACGGGAACACTATTGTGTAAGGCACGAAGTGCTAATGGTGGTCAAAAAGAGATGGTCACGAACTTCATAGCGCTCATAATAACATGAAGCTAAATTCAGTATTACCGCCACGGGGGGGGGGATACCGTAAACTTCAAGCGACAACCGGTTAATTGTAACTCTGCAGTGGACGTACGTACATATAACACCGAACTTTACGCCGGTACCACTACGGGAATTGTGCAGGAATGCTTGCATATACTGGGGTGTTCGAGGATGGACGGGAATTTCGTGCACATTTCACTTATGAATTCTTTCGTCTCGACGTCGAGGTTCTGAATGTTTTGCATGCGCAGCCGTAAGAGATTTCAACGCCTCACAACGCTGCTTTCTACCTATTCGCAGTTGGAGATAATTACATGGATACTACGAGCCGAGCTGAATTACTTTAACTTACTCCAGACCAGAAGAATTCTTTTACAAGTGCTTTCCCAACTTATTCCAT